AATGGCAGTGGTCTTGCAGGCGGCTGAGGGCAGGAAAGTAAAGAGGGAGGGAGCAGGAGCTTGCTGACCTTCTCGCCATAGAGAAGCCCCCCTCGCCAGCTCCTGAGGCCAGGTTCACCTGGAGTCCAGTGTCCGCTTGGATCTGCACGGTGTAGAGCCTAGCCCCTACCATCCCAAGATTTGGGAGAGCTGCGGAGCACGGGATGGAGTGAGATTCCGTTCTGCAAACTTCCCAAAGAAAGATTTTCAGGCAGGTTCCTGCAACTGCAGGTCCCTCCGGGTCACCCATGCGACGGGCACTTGCAGGCCCAAATCTGAGCTCTCAGCAGCCCCTCCCTACTTATCAGGAGTAAAGTGGGGACTAAGTGAAGACTTGGAAATAGAATGAAATACCAAAGAAACAAAGATGCTTACCACTGGAAAAGTGCAGAGAGACAAAATGCAATTAAGTTGAACAGTGAGAAAGCTTTCTTTAAAGTTATGCACTTAAAGAAAGGAAAGCAAGGGCGTCCTCAGAGAGGAGGTGTGCTAAAAGGTTGTGATTTCTGTCTTTTAAGCATTTTTCAGGAGTATGACAAAAGGCCAGGAGGTATAAACTTGTCAACTGGTCTCAAGATGCTGATGTCTGGTGATGGACACTATATCTCCTCTGCTTTGTTATCAGTCCTCTAGCTAGTTTTGCAAAATAAATTTAACACAAGAAACTTATTGATATGATTCCTCCCCAGGATAGTGGCTTCCCGCTGGGAACCTATCAATCACAACCGCTTGCCCTGCCCCTAAAGTGGATTGAGTTGTCATCTGTTTGCTAAAGAATATGTTAGGAATCTTACGTACTAACATCCTGGTTTTTAAAAATGGGATCTTAGCCTTAAGATGGAATCCTTTCTGTTCCTACTATCCTGTTTATATCTCAGGTTTTTTGGAAAACTGACCATGGTGCTTGTCTTCTGTCTCTGCTCTATCTCAGGAAGAAGCTGCCGGATGAATCAAAACTGACCAAAATAGAGTCAACAGAGATGAAGGCAAGAAAAGGTCCAGAGTCAAGTAGGGGGGAGGAAAAGACTTAGAAATCAAGCCAACATATTTTTGAAACATGGATGAAAACAAGAGAAAAGGGAGTTAGAGCAGCTGTGTGGGACTGTACTCACTCCAGAAGTTAAGGAACATGTTGGAAATGTTAATGTTGGAAATGACTTTTCTTAGCAGATAATAAAACTCAGAATCGATTATGTAAGTGTTTATAAATATGACAATGAATTATAAAAGGCTGTATGATGACAAGAAATGCAAATAAAAGTAGCAATATAAAAACATTTCTATCACTGATCAATAAGCAGTAATTTACTTCCCTTGCAATGAGCTCCCACAAATTTTGGGCGTTTGGAAAACGAAGGAATAGCAGTTTGTAGTTTCTGCTTTCACAAACCACCCAGGCAGGGCCTGAATTCCTTCTTCAGATGAAGACTTTCCTTGGATGTAACTTCAGTGTAGAAAACACCTGCGGCCACAAGCCATGTAGATCTTCAAGGACTGGAGCAGAACCCGGGGTTATTAGCAGACCTTCTAAAGAACTAAGGAGCCCCAGAATTCTGCCGAGCCAAGGAAAGTCACAGACCGGAGGGCGGTGGTCAGTTCTCACTCCCCCAGAAGGAAGGAGAGAGTTAAGACTCTGCCAAATCCAAAACTCTAGTGACTGAGAGATCTCTGAAATAAAAGGGTTCATTGAGTCATTACAGATGCAGCCAGAAAAAATACTGAGTCCTGGGATGAGAAGTTTCTGCTTCACCCGCAAGGCCAGTTCACAGAAAAAACTTGTCCTCCAGACTCAAGAAACGGGACAATTATAAGGGGCCTCGAAGTAAGTTGTTTATATTTACATTGGATATAGATAAGGAAGGTGGGCTGATCTGAAGTGGGAAAAGTCTGGGGATAGGTAGTTAATCCCCAGAGAAGGCTCGTAGATTTGTTGTTGGGTGGGCATGCGGTGGTTCTGGGGGTCTTCTAGATAACTGTTGAAATAACTTTACTCAGGAACGTGGAGTCTCAGGTTAGCTGCCTGGAGGTTGGAACAAAATGCCAGCCTGCATTTGGGAATGTGGAGTCTGTGGCCAAAGCCTGCAACTATTGACTGATCATCTTTCCTCCTGCTGTGATGCTTCTGTCACTTCATTTAAGGACATCTCTGAATTTTTTCCTTATCAACTCTGAGGTCTGAGGATGGGATATTTCCTTTCATCCTATGACCTCAACAGAACATAAAGGAAACACACCCAGAATTTGATTTTACCTGCATTCCTTTGCTAAATAGATACAGATACACAATGAATTGAGTTTATTTCTTTGGCAAGAAATGGTGCATTAGAGTTGCCTTTGTTTTTAATCTTGTCACATCAACAGCACCCTTACCAGAAAGTGCAATGTGTGTTCCCTGTACTACATACAGTGGGAGTACAATTCTGCTTCAAATTCCAGTGTGGGTTTTTTTCCTGCACACCAAGCAATTCTCTGACAATCCACCTGGAGATAGCGTCAGATTCCACAGGTTTAAGGGTTCAGTCCTACAAGACTGCACCCCTTACCTCCAGCTCAGCCCAATAGCAAATCCAGGTTGTCACCTGTGCTTCTGACCCACTGACTACGGATTGAAATTTCCTATGACTCCCTCCTTGCGTTAGATTAACTTGCTAGAGCAGCCCACAGAGTTTAGAGAAACATTTTACTTACCAGATTACTGGTTTATTATAATAAAATGATATAACCCAGGAACAGCCAGACAGGAGAGGTGCACAGGGCAGGGTATGGGGAAAGGGTGAGGAGCTTCCAAGCAGTCTTGGAGGGTGCCACTTTCCCCAAATCTTCACGTATTTGCCAATCTGAAGCTCTCCAAATGCTGTCCTTTAGGGGTTTATTGGAGGCTTTTCTACACAGGCATAATTGATGGACTCATTGGCCTTCAGTGATTGAACTCACTCTCAGACCCTCTCCCTTCCCAAGAGGTGGGGTGGGACTGAAAGTTGCAGCCCTTTAGCCATGCTTGGCTCCCCAGGCAGCTCCCCCCAACCCTTAGGTTTCCTTAGGGCTCTCCACATGTCACCTCATTAACATCACAAAAGACACTTAGATCACTCTCAGCAGGACTTTCCAAGGGTTTTAGGGAACTATGGCGGGGGGGTGGGGTGGAGGGGTGGGGGAATGAAAGACCAAATACAGATTTCTTAATATAAATCACAATGTTACACAAGGGAAAACAGATTACCAGTAAGACTGTGTTTTTTTTTAAACCAATGTATAATGTCTGCGATTCTGTACTGAAGTTAAATGTGCTTATATTTGGATTTAAAACTGGCATTGCACTACTCAATAAAGTTCCTTTTAACACACACACACAATAAAACTGGCATTGCACAATACAAAAATGAGTGGTAATATTTACGCCAATAACTTAAAATTCTAATTTTATTTACTTAGAACATTAAATGGCAAATTAGGAAAAAAAACCCAACAACTTATGGCAAGTTGAGAGTATGAGTGCAGAAGGAAGGGAAAACTGTATTTTTAGTGCTTTTATTTAATGCGTCTTTTTTCCTGATTTTTGAACATGGGACTCCACATTTTCATCTTGCACTAAAGCCCTGCAAATTATGCAGCTGACCCTGCACATTGTATATTTGGGATATTATTTCCTCGTGGGTTTTTAGCATTTATTTCATCTGAGGAATTTTGCTTCAAGATTTTGTTAAGTTTCTCGTCGTTTGCCACTTCTGTAACTGTTGGGTGGTTGGGTAGAATTCCTGCCTTCACTGGAGTTCCTCATTAGAATCAGGCCACATACTAAAGAAACATGAGAGCTGCCTTCCTTTTAGGGAATTTAATATATACATATTTTTAAATAGCAGGAATTTATTAAGTAAAGTGAAGTACACTCTCCAGAAGGGAAGGGAATTTAATATTTGTTGGGAATCTCTGCCATACATTTTGATCCAGAGACATAAAAAAACACAATAACCATAATGTCCATCAACCCCAGGAGAGCTTATTGTCTAGAACAGGTGTTGGTAGGTTCAAGCTGATCTGCCACCTGTTTTTGTACAGTGTATAAACTAAGAATGGTTTTTACATTTTTAAATGGTTGGGGAAAAAATCGAAAAAACAATAATATTTCATGACACATTAGAATTATTTGCAATTTCAATTTCAGTGTCCAAAAGTGAAGTTTTATTGAACACAGTCATGCTTACTCGTTAATCTACTGTCTGTGGCTGCTTTCTGTTACAAAACAGCGGAATTGGGTAGTTGAGGAGAGACCTTATGTCCTGCAAAGCCTGAAATATTTACTATCTGGGCCTTGACAGAAAAAGGTTTTTGATCTCTGTTCTAGAAAAAAAAAGCCATTACCGTGAGGCTCATTGCTGTGGATCTTTCCCGGGATAATCCTGATTATATAGGGAATGCATCCTGGGAAAGTATCCTGATCTCCAGAAGATTCTGAGCTAGGCTCAAAGGTAAATACCAGGAATGTGCCATCTAGCGGTGGAACTTTTCAATCAGAGGAGAATTTATGAATTTATAAATTTGCCCATGCAGAAATGGTGAGAGTTAAAGATTATGGCCAGTGCATGTATAAGATTTAAATGCCATGTGGCATTGACTATTACTTAAACCTAGAGTGAAAGGCAATTAAATCCTAGTACGTAAATGTCTCCCTATGAATTAGACATAGAAAAAAATAAAGCTCAAATATTTATTAGTCATGAGTGAATGGAAATGAATGCACATCAACTTTTTAAAATTTATTTGAACACAAACACCCCACATCCTGTAAAGGTTAACTAACAAAACAGGTATTTTTGTTAAATAACTTGTCTTTAAGGGTAGGAAGCTTTTTATTATCTCCTTGATACTTAAAATAATGCAGTTGATACTTAAATAATAATCCTTTCTCTTCTCAGTGATGACACCTAGAAAGGAACCCTCTGTTCTGTCTTTCCATTGGTTGTTTAAGGTGTCTTTTCTTCAATGGAGTGAACCCTTGGTGAAAGAACTTTACTACGTTGATCTCTCTCTCCAAGCACTGTCTTTACCAGCGTGGTTTTGCATAAATCCGGGAATAAAACAAATGCGAACACACACATTCAACCTAAAAGATTACCTGACAAAGAATTTCACTGCTGGTTGTAATATGATATACTATGTACATTTTTGATGAGAGAGTAAGTATAGAGTTAATCAAAATAATTTGGATTCATTTTATCCAACCAAATAAGTTCAGAACACTTTAATTAAAAGTACTTCATTATAGACCGTTTTCATAGGGTACGACTGCCATTCATGGACAAGTACTTGCTGCAATAGAAATAGAACTAGATTTTATTACCTTTAGTTGAATTCCCTGAGCTTCCTGATCCAAAACCCTTTGATTTGGAGAATGAGCTGTAAACAAAACCAAACCCAGTTTATTCTTTGATATTTTTATTTATCTCTTAAAGAATTTTCATTGAATCAACAGATGAACATAAACTCAAGAGAACTCTGTATGCCAAGAACAGATCTGGGTTTTCTATAAAGGAAAACATTAAATTTGTTGTGTGTAGGAGCTGAGTGTAATTCAATGTTACTAGGAATAAAATAAGAGGGGGATAAAGCCTGGGGTGGGCGGCGGGGTGGAAAGAACCTTAAAACCTACAGTGATTAACTTGGGCAGCAAATGGGGTTTCTGAGGGATGGTTATGGTCATCCAAGGCAGATGAGGAAGAGGCTGTGATGTACAAAATATGGAAGAGATGACCGCAGAGGCAAGAGGCAGACGTGCTTTTCTGCAGTGGGAATGAAGGAAGGAAGGGCTGGAGGCATGGAAGGTGAGTGAGCAGTGTGTGGCTGTGGTTTTAAGCAGGTAAAACCTGGATTTTCAAATACTGTTACTTAGTTCGCATTTTTTTCTATCAGGCGGCAGTAGGTCTCAATGTCTTTCTCCAGGTGCACCTTGATGTCGAGTAGCTGCTCGTACTCGAACTTCTGGCCCTCGGTCTCGGTTCTGACCTGGTGCAGCTGCTCCTCCAGGGCACTGACCTGAGCCTGGATCTGGGCGAGCTGTGCACAGTAGTTGCCTTCGGTCTCGCTCAGGGAGCACTCCAGGGAGTTTCTGAGGGCCTACGAGATGTCAGAACAGGGGACGAAGCTCTTGGAGGACAATGCAGGCTGGTATCTCTCAGCAAACAGCACGACTGCTCCCTCGGTAAGCTTCGGACATTTGTGGGGGCCCATCACCACCCAGCGGGAGGTGGGGAGAAAGGGAGGGTGACTGGCAGTTGCTGGGTGGGGGCCAGGCCTGCCCAATACTGTCACGGGGTGAATGACCCTCTTCCCATGAGACATTTGACTATTCCAACAGACATTCATGATATTTAGGTAATATTTCATATTATAACCAACGTATATATTTGAACACTTTTTTGGGGTAGCACAGTAAGAGGTCATTATTGGAAATTTTGCATTTTGGAATTGTGTATTTTTTTGGGGGGTGGCCTGTTGTTTTGCAGTCTCATTCTGCTGCTCCCAGGGACCCACCCTGCCACTTTTCAAGCCCTTTTATGCTGCTGTTTCTTTTTCTGATCTGTCCTCAATTTTCTGTCATCAATCAAAGGCCTTTTATGAAGCACTTGAGGTTGAATAAATGCCTGAGCAGAAGTGGGATTTCAAGACAAGAAATATGCTTCACAACACAGTGCAGGTCATAATTTCAACACTGCTCTTAGGAATATTATGCTTCTTCAATTCTACTTCCATGGTCTGTAATTTGTCTTATTATATATCCCCACTTCAATTAAAGTAATTTTCTTCTCTCCCTTATCATGTATAGATACACCTGGGTGCTTATTACTTCTCTTGATATTAGTTATTATCTGAGTGCCTGACCCCACTTCTACTCTTTTATTTTCCTTTTCTTCTCATGTGGATCAACTCCTAATCTTCCATTGTTTAAAATAAAACTTACCTATTAAAGGAAGGTGTAAGCCTGTTACATGACATGTTCTCTTTCATTCCATGTTCTAAGGTGGTTGGGCCCAAGTGTTTACATATTAAATAGATTTGATTTTAAGAGATTTAAATTTTTCCTTTTTATTGCAGATCTGACATAGTTTTTTTTAGAAAAATTTTTATATTGTTAAATATATTATCTATTGACTTTATACCAGGGTTGTAAAGAGGGAGTTATAAAATATTCATGTAACAGGAGGACACTGGGTCTGCTGGGGCCAAGAACCACTGACTTAGATAAACAGGCTGCCTGGTGCACTGCATGGGTGGTGCTGGGCCCTCCAGGAGCAGAGGTGGGCCAGTGAGGAGGCAGTAATGGGGAGGATGAGGCATCGAGTGGCAAGAGGTCAGTGAGGTGTGTGCTCGGCTGTTCAAAACTTTAATTTCCCTGATGACGTGTTCTCATATGATATTCCTTTTTTAAGGTTGCTAATACTCTCCTACATCAGAGGGGACGGCACCTCTATCTCACAGCCTTCCTCCCTAAAGGCTGGCTTGTGGCTGAGGAAGGACAAGATGGACTTGGAGGCTGTGCACTACCGGAAGCAAGTGAAATATTTATGTATTTTGACAAGTCCCAACTTACATATGATTTGTAAACTAAACTACAGAAGATCGTGCTTAGAATTCACCTTAGGATGAAAGAATCTTAGGTATGGAACTTAGGTGGAAATAACGCCATCATTATTCTATAATTCAGTTTTGCTGTGTGTTAAAACGGGCATTTTGGATGGATTCTCTCATGAGCCCAAACTGTGTTACTACTGCCTGTACAGAATCCAGTGATTTCTAACATCATTGCTTCTCCATGAAGATGCTTGAATTCTGAGACAGGAACTCAGGAATTTACTTCCTTGAACATAACTCAGAAATGAGAGGAAGGTTCTGCTCAGGGAACAGCAGGAGGAGCAGGCCTACAACCAGGGCTGTAGCTGCAGGAAAGCAGGAAGTGGGGAATAGAAGAGGTTCCAAGAGCTTAATGTGGCAGGAGGGTCCCGGGTACCAGCAGGGGTGACCAGGGTGAGGAGAAGGGGGCACGCTGATTACCTTGTGGTGAGTTAGTGGTAAAAAACAAGTCTCCAATGTAAGCACCACTGGTGCGAAAGCACCGTACCTTTCTAGGGTGGTGAAGTCAAAGCAATCCTTCTGTTGTTCTAAGTTCTTTTCCTTCCCAGCTCCCTGCATTCATCTGCATAATAGCCGCTCTTTCGTTTGTGTTACAGGCGATGTCCTCAGGCAGAATGAAGGCTCTGTGGAGGACAGGCACCCTGCGGACCGCTGTGTGGGCTAAAATTTTGAAAGGTAAGCCTTTTGGATGCCGCCAGCTCACATCCCAGGGGGGAAGCGGTATGGTCCTGGGCTGTCTCCATGGTAACCTCTGAGGTAACAGGCAGTAGGTGCTCATGGGCTGAATGGGGGGCACTGTGGGCTGGGTGGGGAGGAAGAGGCTGACAGTGCTCTGGGGAATCAGATAGGTACCCTCTTTTCCTCTGCCAGACCCAGAGCTCAATGTGGCTTTTAAAAGGTCTTCAATAGTAGGAGATGCTTGTGACACTAACTAGGCCTGCTGCGGGCCTGACACGGAATTTTCAGGGGGAGGAACACAGCTGCTTGCTTGCTCACTCTGCGGGGCCGAGGAAGCAGCTGTGAAATGTGGGTTATTTTCATAAAATGGGCGGTGAGCACCGGTCAGGAAGTCCTTCGTGATCTCAGGGAGGAAGAAATGCCCGGTCTGTCTCTCTTTCTGGGCGTCTCAGTGCCTGTCTTTCCTTAGCCCTTCTGTTCTCTCTGTTTAGTATTTGTTAAGTGAAACTACAACAGGGACGGAGCGGAGGGTTTCGGTTAGGTTTCCAGAAGCCCCCGGTCCAGGACCCCCACTGCCGGCTCGGACCTACCGCTGCCAGGGGGGACTGCAGCTCGATGTCCAGGCTCTGCAGCACGCGCTTCATTTCGGTCAGCTCGGCCCTGGCCGAGGTGGCAGCGCCCGCATGGTCTGAGACCTCTTGCTGCAGGTGGCGTTCTGCAAGGCGGGGCGCATGGGCTTAACCGGGTCTGCACCCGCCGGCCCGGGGGCAGCAAAGGCAGGGCCGTGCTCACCGGCTCGCGGAGCCGGGCCTCCGCGTCCCTGCGGTTCTGCTCAGCCAGGCTTTCCTACTCAGCGCGCATGTTGTTCAGCAGAACCGTGAGGTCCACCCCGGGCGCCGCGTTCATCTCCACGTTCACGTGGCCCCCGCCTCCGCACTGCAGAGCCTTTATTTTCTGGAGGGAAACGTGAGCGTACGAGGCGGGCAGCTTATGTTCCACTGTAATCTAGGACAGGTTTTCAAAGGTGGGGCTTGATGTCAAAGACTGGGTTCAAATTCGAGTGTCTTATTTAAAGCACAAGAGTTTTGAGCCAGTTCTGCGATGCATCGTCACTCCTATCTATTTAATTAGTCATTTGTTAATTAAGACAACCGCAGCCAACACCACCACAGAAATAGTAACAGCATCTCAAGAGCAGTGTTTATTCAGTTAAATGAGAAGGGCTACACAGACATGATTGTTGATTAAATGTCAGGTAGCTTCTTGTTGATGGGAATAGAGCAACGGGAAACACAAATTAAAACCACTCACCTCATGGAACTGTCATTTTAGAGACTAGAGCTGTTTTTTATTGAGTGAGTGATTGTTGTATGTCAGGCATTGTTCTAAGCAGTTTATGTGCATTACCTCGTTCAAGTCTTTTAACATCTCTATGCGGTAGGTACTATTAGACTTATTTTACAGATAAACAGAGGCACAGAGAGGGAAGGTAACTTGTCCAAGATATTCAGCACTTGAAAGGATGGGTATTTGAACACAGTAGGTACTCTGGCTCTTACCAACTATAATCTGCGGCCTCGCTATTCCAGGGTATGTCCCAGGTCAAACCATCAAGCAGTCTGACCTAGTCTGAGAATGGATTTCTGGGCAAATCAGTTTATGGGTGATATGAATTTAGTCCTTTAAGTAGCCAACCTTTTTCATTTTTAATTGCTTTGATAGACTAGTATCTCTGACTTCTTAAACCATCTTTTTATGACCTCAGATCAGTGGCTTTCCAGTATGCACCCACAACAAAAGATTTTCATTGCCCGGGGAAGCCTCTGATTAAATTATTTACTTTTTTTTTTTGGCTGGGGGAGATGTGAAACATTCCACGTGAAGAGAATTCTTGTTGCTATAAAAGTTTGGAAATTGAATTGCTTGAAGTTATCCTAGGCACCCTCGTCATTGGTGAGTGTGGTAAGCACGACGCTCTCGGGATGCTGAAATGTGAACAGTTCTTTGTTCCTACTTACAGTGAATTCAGAGGGACCTTCTAGGGTTGGTATGTCTTTTAGGGGGACAGTGAATCCTGTTGTGATCCCGACTCTACCCCGACCAGGCTGCTGTGACTGCTGTTTCTTTTCTTCTGGGACTCTTCCTTCCTCAATGTCACACTCTCATCCAGGGATGGGTTTGGTGTTTCACTCTTCTGCTGACCCTCTCTGGTGGCCTCACTCTTCCAGCCCTCTGCTCTATGACTCTGTTCCCTCTCCTTGTTTCTCTTTTATTTAATATTCTTACTATTTCCGTCTCCCATGATTTGTTCCTTTGGGGCAAGAAAGATGTGTTTTTTTTTTTTTTTTTGAGACCGGTGCAATTCATTCTGGGATAATCCTTTTTTTTCCTTAGGGGGTTGAAGCTACCTGGTGTTGAGACAGGGACTATGGGTTTAGAGAGAGTAGGGTGAGGGCCTCTGGAAAAAAACCCCTACCAAAACTCCATGTTTAACAATTAAGCAAAGCCAGAGTTGCATTAATTCTCTAAAATAAAACTATCAAACTAGGAATATAGGTATTCTTCAGTGAGATTAGTTAAAACTAAAAAGCCAGGAGTAACTTGGCATGGAATGTTTGAATATCACCAGATAAGAAAATAACCTCAGCATAGCCCATGTCTTCATTGTGTCAATTAAGTCATACTATTGTAAGATTTACTTTAGCCTGCTTACTGTCTTTAACTTTACCCAGGTGCTGCTTTTCTTCCTCCAACCCTAATCAGGTAATCTACAACCTGGACAATTAATTTAGCAAGTACGCCCAGTCATAAATGACACAGTAAAAAAAAGAAAGAATTCCATCTTAAAGATAAGATTGCATTTAAAACCCAAGAAGTTAAAAAGTAAGTTTCTTAACATACTCTTTAACAAACAGACAATAACTCAGCCCACCTTGGGAGCAGGACAGGCAGTCTTAATATGCTCCTAGACCCAGAAGCTGCTATCCTGGGAAGGAATCAAAGCCTTTAATTTCTTGTGTTAAGCTAACTTTGTAGAATAACACAGAGGACTGATAAGAACCTTAGTGTCTCTTCAAAGATAAATATTTGGGGACAATTCAGCAGGTCTGCATCCCTAGCCCTTTGTGTCTCAACTGCCTATAAATCCCCTAGACAACGCACCACCTTGGACTCTCTTGTCCCCTCCCGGCAAAAGCCAGGAGCTCTTTCCTCTTACTTTATCTCTGAATGAAAGCCTCTCACTTGCTCTCCTACTCTGAGTGTTTGTGAAGTTCATTCTTTGACTCCATGAACAAGAACCCTGACATCAGTGTTATGGGTCAAATGATATGTTTCTTATTGTGCAGAGTTCAACATTAAAGTCACCCAAGCTCATTAAGTGGAGAAAACTGACATCTTTTCCTAGTCAGAGAGGTTTTTTGTTAGAAGGTTGACCTCAAGATAGGCCTAGATGAATGAAATAAATAATGTAGGGGAAAGAAAGATGGTTATATGAATGCAGAAGTAATGTATTATTTTCAAAATATATATCTGCCTAAGAAAATTAAAGGGTATAGATCAAATTGTTACTATTTATTACCTTGGGGATGAGAGTAGAAGGGCAGAATGGGAGAACTGAAATTTTCTTCTTATGCCTTAACATTTTTTGAATTATTATGATGAGCATTAATTACTATTAATTGAATTTCCCTTCCCCAAGTATTTAAAAGGTACACAATTGTGATTTGACTGGAAGCTTTGCCTACCTCTTCATGGTTCTTGGGATATGTTCTCTCTTCACTCAGGGATTCATGCTGCAGTTCCTGGTCAGTCCTGCCAAGGGTCAGTTCATCTAGGACTCCTCTTAGCCCGTTGATGTCAGTCTCTGTGTTTTGGTGAAGAGCGAGCTCATTTTCATACCTTGGGAGGCATTCAGTGAATTTCAGCCAAATTAGACTACTTCAAGGGATGGAGAAGTAAAACCTCAATTTCTTTAAACTGAAAACTAAAAATTGAATTAAGACCCTCAATATTAGAAAAATATATAAAGAAAGCCTTCCTCTGCTCCTCTGACCCAAGATAATCTTCTGGGCAACATAATTGTGTCACATTTAGTCACACAAATTCCAATAGCATATCCCAATGAAATAAAAATATGCCACCTTAGGTTTTTATCTCAGATAATATTTTTACTTCGCTGATGAGTATTTATGAGCATTTACTTTGTGCTTGGCACTATTTGAGGCAGGCATACTTTGTCTAATACAATGATACTTTGTCCCAAGAGTATAATAAATAGATACTTATAAATTGTGAGTACAGTTGATTGTAATACTATAACATTCTTTGTAAGGTGTGGTATTGAAGTGTTATAATGTATTATTTCCTCTAATCTTTTAGGTTATAATTTATTCTACTTGGGATGAAGTTGAAATTTTATTTAACATATTAAATAGATAGGAGACTTTTTCTAGAGCTGAGTTATTTTCTATCACTTACTTTAGCCGGAAGTCATCAGCAGCCAGTCTGGCATTATCAGTGTGCAGAAGTACATATTAGCATTAGCAGTAGTTGAAGAGATAATCTAGAAAATATCAAAAGGGAGAACACAATGGTCAAGTGCTGTTCTAATTTATTATTTCAGGAAATAAAAAATGTTACACAATTAGCTTTTGCATAAAAATCTTACCATCTTAGTTAACAAGCCAAATGTTTAAAATTTTAATTTTTAAAAATTACAGGTAAGGTTTCATTTCTTTTCATATACTCATACAACTTTTAGAATATAGTACTTTCTTAATGAATATATTTCAAAATAAATAATGAAACTAGTAAACATGTACGCTATATTGAAATTCACGAATCAAAGTGCCTATTTTTGCCTAATAGGAAGAGTTATTTATCAGAATAAATAATAAATAAATATGACATTGCAGGTAATAGCCATGAAGCAAGGTTATAAACTCATACCAATAAATTACAGGTAACAGTGATAAAGCATCTTCTGTTATAGTTCTATGTCTTTCGGTAGGTAATTCTTAGTTTCGAATATTTTGAATAGTTTCAAATTTGGGATTTCTCACCTTATTCCTGAGATCTTCAGTTGTTAGGTGATAAGTGCTATAGTCACAATCAAGTTCGTGGCAAGATCCTGGTCCCTATTTTTCATACCAATGTTTGATTTTTCTCTCTAGTTCAGCATTTGCCTCCTGCAGGGCTCTCCTGTTATCCAGGTAGGATGCCAAGCGGTCATTAAGATTCTGCATGGTCACCTTCTCATTCCCAGAGAGGAGTCCCCCTTCATTTCCAGTAAAGCCAGCACAAGCAGTGCTTCCACGGACACCACCAGCGTGGTTCCCACAAGGAACACTGCCTAAGACCCCTCCAAAGGCACAGGAAAATCCACTTCCAGGGGCAAAGCTGCCACATGCATTGCTGCCTGCAAAGCCTGTGCCTCCACTGGCCGGTCTGGCAGCTCCAGTTCCAGACTGCAAGCAAATATGCTGGACCCACTAGAAAACCGGAGAGACAGGATAGTATAAGAAACGTTCTCCTTGTCTGCGGATACTGAAATTTCAAAGGAGAACAGAATATTGTGTGCTGATGGTTTCTTTGGGCTTTTGTACACAAGCGTTGCCGTGTTTCTATTTGAGTTATGCGTGCCAAAGGAAAAATGGCATTATTCAGAGTAGCATGAAATTACGTATAATTGGGTGATTTTTTTCTTTTTTTTTGGTAAATTAATGTCTAACATCCCTGACTGTTGCTTCAGGATATTTGTTATCTTAAATATAATAGGGTTCTTTCTATATGAAGTTCATTATTTTAACTTCTAATTTTGGGTGAGTAATCCTTTGCTTTCATCTCTACTCTAGGACTAGACTATCATTATCTGGAACAGGATATTAGAAAGTTTTAAAAGTTAATTAAGATTGAGATAGGGTACCATCAGCTGCAGTAGGGTCTTAATTACCAGAGAGCTGTGTAAAGAGCCATTCAGTACAGAAACATATATTTTATCTCACCATAGCAAAAAAAAAAAAGTGTCATTAAAAAAATACAATCCTGCTAACTTCTCTGGTCTTGCCTTAATCATACTATCTATTTATTACACTGAACAATAGCAAACATTGACTGATTCCTTTATTTGACATGTATAGCTACTCCCTGGCATTCACTGCTAAATGCAAATATGAACACATGATGCTAAGTAAATGCAGAGATGAAAAAGATATTGTTTCAGTCTTTAAGAAGTGTATGATCAGGACCAGATAGGGGCGGGTCATGCTTTTTCTTCTGTGCTAAAAAATCTGGAGTGAAATCTAACTAAAAAGCAGAGAGCAGCATGATCAGCTTGAAATGAAACAAGAAGGCCAATTACAAGATTAGGACAATGGTCCAGGCAGGAAGGGCGAGGGCACGGGGGTGTAAAGAAGAAGCTGAGAGGGTATGGCCATTGATTGAATTTGTAAAATCAAGAAGAAGAAAGAGTTGGGGATGACTCTCAGGTAATTGATTTCAGATGCTGGGAATCCTTGGTATTAACTGAGGTAGGGACTATAGGAGGAGGACAATACTGAGTTTGGTTTTGGACCAACTGGGTTTGAGGGGTTAGTGGAATGTCTTACAAGAAGATGACCAATAGAAAGAATGAATGTTTTGAATAAGTACATGGAACTGGGAAAGATACCTGACTAATAATGGGTAAAGGGATTGTCGGGAAGAACTGAGGGCCCAGTTGCGCTGGTAGTGACATTCCAATGTGCCTTTGGAAGTTATCCTGTTGTAGGAATAGGGAAGTTGATGATCAGCGTGATAGATGTTTGGGATTTGAAGGCAGGTTCAGAAGAAGGAAAAAATAGCAGATATATTTATGGTGCTCTTGAGAAATTGGTTGAGGTGACTAGTCATATATAAAAAAGGAAGTAAGACCAGAGGGACAGATACACTGAAAAAAAAAAAAGACAAAAATTGAGTCATTGGGCATCTATTTTGAGGTCATGGAACAGGCAGACTGTGAGCAGGAGACTGACAGAGGTCACATCCCCACATCTTGACAAAGTTCAGTGAAATGTCATGGGAACTAGACCCAGCAGTTACTGGAATAAAGGTCAGAAGTGGGCTAACCCCAAAAAATCACTGGAGTAGGAGGCTAGAACCCTTAGACTATGGTGTTAAATGGGGAGAGGCATGACGTCTCTTGTGACAGCAGGAAATGGGAGCGAAGTGGACGCAATCCAGGCATCAAAGTTCTTGGATGATGGGAGGGTATGACGAGGGACAACTGCATGGTATCAGCCTCAAAAGAAGAGCTTTAGCTTAAGAATTAAATGGTGATGCTGGATGTAGGATGGGGATCTAAAGAATACAGATCCTGTCTATATGGAGTGGAGTGGAGATGAGGTAATGGGGAGACAGGTAGAAGGGATGACAGAAGGAAGGAGAGAGGTAGGAATGGTGATGGGGTGTGGGATGGAGGGAAGGGATGTGGGAGAGGAAATAGGGTGGTGAGAAAGATAGGGATGGAGATAGGGGGTGGGTGATTTAGGACTAGACTATCATTATCTGGAACAGGATATTAGAAAGTTTTAAAAGTTAATTAAGATTGAGATAGGGTACCATCAGCTGCAGTAGGGTCTTAATTACCAGAGAGCTGTGTAAAGAGCCATTCAGTACAGAAACATATATTTTATCTCACCATAGCAAAAAAAAAAAAAGTGTCATTAAAAAAATACAATCCTGCTAACTTCTCTGGTCTTGCCTTAATCATACTATCTATTTATTACACTGAACAATAGCAAACATTGACTGATTCCTTTATTTGACATGTATAGCTACTCCCTGGCATTCACTGCTAAATGCAAATATGAACACATGATGCTAAGTAAATGCAGAGATGAAAAAGATATTGTTTCAGTCTTTAAGAAGTGTATGATCAGGACCAGATAGGGGCGGGTCATGCTTTTTCTTCTGTGCTAAAAAATCTGGAGTGAAATCTAACTAAAAAGCAGAGAGCAGCATGATCAGCTTGAAATGAAACAAGAAGGCCAATTACAAGATTAGGACAATGGTCCAGGCAGGAAGGGCGAGGGCACGGGGGTGTAAAGAAGAAGCTGAGAGGGTATGGCCATTGATTGAATTTGTAAAATCAAGAAGAAGAAAGAGTTGGGGATGACTCTCAGGTAATTGATTTCAGATGCTGGGAATCCTTGGTATTAACTGAGGTAGGGACTATAGGAGGAGGACAATACTGAGTTTGGTTTTGGACCAACTGGGTTTGAGGGGTTAGTGGAATGTCTTACAAGAAGATGACCAATAGAAAGAATGAATGTTTTGAATAAGTACATGGAACTGGGAAAGATACCTGACTAATAATGGGTAAAGGGATTGTCGGGAAGAACTGAGGGCCCAGTTGCGCTGGTAGTGACATTCCAATGTGCCTTTGGAAGTTATCCTGTTGTAGGAATAGGGAAGTTGATGATCAGCGTGATAGATGTTTGGGATTTGAAGGCAGGTTCAGAAGAAGGAAAAAATAGCAGATATATTTATGGTGCTCTTGAGAAATTGGTTGAGGTGACTAGTCATATATAAAAAAGGAAGTAAGACCAGAGGGACAGATACACTGAAAAAAAAAAAAGACAAAAATTGAGTCATTGGGCATCTATTTTGAGGTCATGGAACAGGCAGACTGTGAGCAGGAGACTGACAGAGGTCACATCCCCACATCTTGACAAAGTTCAGTGAAATGTCATGGGAACTAGACCCAGCAGTTACTGGAATAAAGGTCAGAAGTGGGCTAACCCCAAAAAATCACTGGAGTAGGAGGCTAGAACCCTTAGACTATGGTGTTAAATGGGGAGAGGCATGACGTCTCTTGTGACAGCAGGAAATGGGAGCGAAGTGGACGCAATCCAGGCATCAAAGTTCTTGGATGATGGGAGGGTATGACGAGGGACAACTGCATGGTATCAGCCTCAAAAGAAGAGCTTTAGCTTAAGAATTAAATGGTGATGCTGGATGTAGGATGGGGATCTAAAGAATACAGATCCTGTCTATATGGAGTGGAGTGGAGATGAGGTAATGGGGAGACAGGTAGAAGGGATGACAGAAGGAAGGAGAGAGGTAGGAATGGTGATGGGGTGTGGGATGGAGGGAAGGGATGTGGGAGAGGAAATAGGGTGGTGAGAAAGATAGGGATGGAGATAGGGGGTGGGTGATCCGTTTCCCAAGAAAAAGTTGCTGGGCCAGTTCAGGAGAACACACATTAAGTGGTTAATGCAGAGAAGCTTGCAGAAAGGGTTTAGGTAGTTGTCAGATGTGAACAGAAAGAGTCTCCACCTCATATGTTTGTTGAGACACTAACAGATCACACTCAGCGCAGGCTCCGGTGAGTGGAGAACTGTCCATGTGTGGCAGCTGTTACTATTATTGTGATGGTGTTGCCAACTGAGTATAGGGGTCTGAGGAGGTCAGGCTGAAAGCGAAGGAGAGGTTAGCAAGGGGAAGAGTCGGAGAAGCCTTCTCCTGAGGCAGGGGCGAGGCAGGTGGAGAAGGCAGAGAGGACAGGCCGAGGAGGGATGGGAGGGACTTGGCTGGGCTTGACTGGTTCCAGGTTCTGTGGTTAGGACAGGTATAAAGTCGTACCAGGACAGTCAAGTGTCTCCTGGAACTGTGTTGGCATGGGTAGTCTGAAGCCTGGTCAGCTGGTGCTGTGGCTGGCATCAGCATGGCCTTCAAATGCATTTTCTGGGCTAAGCTGTAGGATATTTTTAGAGTTGCAAAGGGCCTTAGCACTCAGTGCCTTTATTTGGCAGGTGAGGCAATGGAGACTCAGAAACATTAAACAATTTGCTCACAGTCACCAGGCACGTGCCTGGTGATGACTTAGCCTGTTCAGATAGCCTTGAGAGTGTGGCATCATAAGCATATTTTGGATATAAATAATTACACATGGTGTAATTACTGTAACACCTACTTTATATATTGCCATCAACAGTTTTAACATGGCATGTGAATTGTAAAATTATCCTTTTAAATTACAGTATTATCAAAAGGGAAATATTAAAGAATTAGAATATTAAAGTGTATAAAGAATTATTAATCTCTTCAGTGCCTGATTTTTACCTGTGAATAATAACTAGGTGAGTTATTGGTATAATGTGTACATCCTACATATGTAAAACAATTTTGTGACAAAGAAAAGAAAGTCTTTTTTTTTTGCTTCATTTATTATGATTTCTTTCTTCCTTTAAATTAAGGTGTCATTGATTTACAATCTTATGAAGGTTTCACATGAGCAACATCGTGTTTTCAACATTCACCCATATTATCAAGTCCCCCCACACCCCATGTGGTCACTGTCCATCAGCATAGTTAAGATGCTATAGAGTCATTACTTGTCTTCTCCATGCTATACTGCCTCCCCCGTGACCTGCCTGTATTGTGATTGCCAATTATTGTGCCCCTGAATCCCCTTCTCCCTCCCACACACCCTTCCCAACCCTTTGCCTTTGGTAACCACTACACCCTTCTTGGAGTCTGTGAGTCTGCTGCTGTTTTGTTCCTTCAGTTTTTGCTTTGTTCTTATGCTCCACAGATGAGTGAAATCATTTGGTACGTGTTTTTCTCTGCCTGGCTTATTTCACTGAGCATAATACCCTCTAGCTTCATCCATGTTGTTGCAAATGGTAGGATTTGTTTTCTTCTTATGGCTGAATAATGTCCCATTGTGTATATGTATCACATCTTCTTTATCCATTCATCTACTGAGGGACACGTAGGTTGCTTCCATTTCTTGGCTATTGCAAATAGTGCTGTGATAAACATAGGAGTACATATGTCTTTTTGAAACTAGGATCGTGCATTCTTAGGGTAAATTCCTATGAGTGGAATTCCTGGGTCAAATGGTATTTCTATTTTTAGTTTTTTGAGGAACCTCCATACTGCTTTCCACAATGGTTGAACTAGTTTACATTCCCACCAGCAGTGTAGGAGGGTTCCCCTTTCTCTGCATCCTCGCCAGCATTTGTTGTTGTTTCCCTTTTGGATGTTGGCCATCCTAACTGGTGTGAGGTGATATCTCATTGTGGTTTTAATTTGCATTTCTCTGATGACAAGCGGTGTGGAGCATCATTTCATGTGCCTGTTGGCCATCTGAATTTCTTCTTTGGAGAATTGTCTGTTCATATCCTCTGCCCGTATTTTAATTGGGTTATTTGCTTTTTGGGTGTTGAGGTGTGAGTTCTTTATATATTTTGGATGTTAATCCCTTATCAAATAAGTTGTTTACGAATATATTCTCCCATACTGTAGGATGCCTTTTTGTGAAAGAAGCTATCTTAAAAAACATTAAGTTAAGGGCTTTTCAGGGGGCTTTTCTTTTTCAGTCAGCATTGCCCTTGGTGATCCTACATTAACCTCACGGTCCCTGACCTCCTATTTCCACCAGGTGGCAGCACTCACATTCAAATTGCTGGATCCCAACCGCTGCTTCAGCCTGGGTCCCACATGCTCTCTGTGGTCACTGTCCATCAGCGTAGTTAAGATGCTATAGAGTCATTACTTGTCTTCTCCATGCTATACTGCCTCCCCCGTGACCTGCCTATATTGTGATTGCCAATTATTGTGCCCCTGAATCCCCTTCTCCCTCCCCACACACCCTTCCCAACCCTTTGCCTTTGGTAACCACTACACCCTTCTTGGAGTCTCAGCTGGAAAATTTGAGTAAGAAGCAACCTCCACATTTACCTTTTCAAAGTTACAGAGCATAATGTGTATAAAGACAACATTGTCTTACATTTATATCGTGCTTAACAGCTTCCAAAGGGATTTTTTGTATATTATCTCATTTGAACCTTAGAAGAAATCTGGGAGTTGGGAAGAGAGGTTTCCTTCCTCTGATTTAAAGATGAGCGAACCGAGGAAAAGGGCTTTTCAAGGATACACAGCATGAAACTGGGTGTATGGGCCTTCTGAATCAGTGCGGTGGCCCCTTAGTGTATGTAAGCCCCTTAGTGTATGTAATTATCTTAAGGTCCGAAAAGAAAAACTGGGCGGAAAATTCCTTTTGTGAAAAGCATGAATGTATTTCTTTATAGAATTCTTCTCAGAATTTCTAGTTAACAGCAAACTGAAACTACAGTTATGCTGTCTATCTGATGCCATTTATTCAATTTTTTGTTCAGTCAAGAAATATTTAATGAGCAACTACTATGTGGCAGGTACTGTTTTAGCAGGGGACATAGAGGGGAAGGAAACAAATGCCTTCCAAACTTTTATTGTGAATAATGCTGCTGTGAAGATGGCATGTGTAGATATATCTCTTCAAGACCCTGATTTCAACTCAGAAGAGCAATTGCTGGATCATATGGTAATTTTATTTTGAATATTTTGAGGAACTTTCATTCTGTTTACCACAGCAGCTGTACCATTTAACATTCCCACCTACAGAGCACAAGTGTTATAATGTCTCCACGTCTTGCAAATACTTATTTTCTCTCTCTATATATTTTTATAGTAACCATCCTAATGGGTGTGCAGTGGTGTGGGGAAGTTGGGGTACCTATGGCCAGGATCCTCACTGAACTTAAACCACCTGATGATGTAACTGGCCTGTTGCTAGGCTACCGCTTCCACACCTTTAGGCAATAAGCTATTATTGCACTGTATAGAGAGCTCGGCCCAATCCTCTGGGCAGAGGCAGAGATGCTAGTGCTCGACCTATCGTGGGGAGAACAAGCCAGGTGATAAACCCTTTCACCCCAAGGAACGTTTGCTGTCAATTTATTTGGTCACATTGAATCCATAGCGAACTCACCAGGGCTGAAACCCATTGGCAGGACAGGTGGTATCTTATTGTAGTTTTGATTTGCATTTCCCTAATGATTAGTGATGTTGAGCATCTTTCCATGCGCTTGTTGGCAATATCCCACTTGCTTTTATCTTTATAACTGTTGTTCAATTTACCTAGATGCATTTGGGGGCCGTTTTGTTTTCTAGTCTTCCTTTCAAATTTCTTACTTTACAAAACCCTACTGAGGTTTTATACATCAAATCTTTTAACAAGAGTTCTTTTCCAAAGGGGTCATCAGCTTGTTTATAGTTCAGCTAGCCTTTGAACCAATTAATTTATTCTTTTTGAGCATTTCTCTTGAGATAACTTATTCTAAGTAAGATAGGTTAATTAAAAGCTTAAATATGTAATTTTTTCTTTGGACAAAACTCTTTTCAGGACACGTCCCAAATTCTTCCCCAAGGTCATGTCCAGTTTTTTTTTTTTTTTTTTTTTTTACTTATTCACAATAATTACTTTCTTTTTTACTTGAGACGAGGCCAGAGGTATCTCTTATCCATGTTGGGATGTAGACAGTGTTTGTGTTTTCCTCCGGAGACACTGAGGAGCAATGTGACAACTCAAAAAGGAGTTCTTCCTTTGGTGTGGCTTTCTGTGGGACAACCGGGCTCAAAAAGGATCCTTCAAAAAAAAAAAAAAGAAAAAATCCTTCATACCTGGTTTCCAGACTGGATTTGTTTCTGTTGTGATAATTTGTTTCTCTTTGTCACCCGAGGACACAGCTTGGATAGTTTGCATCATGATCAGGACCATCACAGCTGCTGCCTCTGGGGATGGTCAGTATCTGTAGATAAAATGAGAGTTCCTGTGGCCAGGATTCTCACCTGGCCCTGGTTGACTAGCTCACTGCACACCTGCGGGCAATACATGGCTGTTGACTCTATATAAAGAGCTCTGCTCAGTGCTTTGGGCGCAACACGGTGGCAGAGCTGCAAGGCTGCAGGAGAGCAGAGCAGAGGCTGGAGTGGTGGCAGTGTCGAGGACAGAGGTCCGGATGACGGCTATGCGGAATGACTGTGCAGACAGAGGGGCCCAGGGGCAGAGACTGGCTTGCTGCATGCAGACTTGCTCTGAGTGAACGGGATTTTAGTGACTGACCTGCCACCTGGAAATAAAGTTGGGTATAACCCTTTCACTCCAAGAACGTTTTGCTGTCAATTTCTTTGGTCACACTGAATCCATAGCAAACTTGCCTGGGGCTGAAACCCATTGGCAAGACAGTATCTCAAACCTTTGGGACAATATCTGGTCCCTCCCAATTACTTTTGCAAACCTCTTGGTCTGTTTTGTTGGACTAATTGGACTGAGCTTCACAGCACTAGGTTAGTCATAACCCTTCGTGACACACTCTCACCATTATTCCTGTTGTCTGGGATTTGGTTTTGCAGTCCTAGTTCTGCAGCAACGTGACCTTGTTCTCTACTCTTTGACAAACTGCGGTAATGATCACCTACCCAACAACTTATTGTGATGTTCATTTCCACCTTTGGAGAAACTAGCTTATTTAGCCAATAAGCATATTTCCTTGAAGATGAACAGAATACTGTTTTTTTTAGTACCTACTATATGGTGGGCATTTTTCTAAGGGCTTTATAGGTAATTAACCCATTTTATCTCCACAGTAATCTCACACAAGGTAGTTACTATTCCTAGTACATAGATTAGAAAGCTGAGACTCAGAAGATTGAAGTAGCTTGTAGCAAAAGCTACAGGATTTGTAAATACCAGCACCAGGATATGAAGTCCAGGAGTCACTGACTTTGAAATGCATGCTTATAACCACAAATGATCTCTTTTCCTAATTCCCACTCTCCAGTTGCAATCTAGATGAGAAATTCCAGATGGACCTTATTTAGTTAACCTTACTCAAGTTGTTTCCCCCATTGAACTGACCCAAACAAAGTTACTTCTCCATGCCCAAGGAAAATCAAGCCATCATTGACATCAGGGTCATGGTGCATTTAAGGCCTATAGCAGCATGAAACATCTTTGGAGAAACAAGCTTTTTAAACACAGCTGTGTAGTCTGAGCAGCAGAATTGGCTCTGCTGGTCTCATTGGACACTGTCCTGCTTAAATAGGCAAGACTCTATAACAACTGTAGAATCTGTACAGGATTTTTTGGTTAATAGCTGCATGATAAATCTGTATAGTAAAAATGGTGATTTTTAAAACAGGTAAATACCTATGTCCTTGTTAAAATCAAATTGTTTAGACACTGTCTTTATTAAACTGTAGTTCAGAGTCTAGTCAAGACAGTGGTTCTGTTTTTTTTTTTCAGTTTCATTGAGATCAAGACAGCGCATTGTTTGAATTTAAGGTGTACAGCAGGATGACTTGACACATATATTGTGAAATGATCACCACAATAAGTTTACTTAACATCCATCAGGAATGTAGTACTATATCAGAGGTAAAGTGTTATCAGGGAGAATGTAATATAAATAATTATTTAAGGAGATATTGGAAGATTGACAAGGTAAGGTAGTACCACTGTGATTCGGACTTCTCAGGAATGAAGGTTTGGGTTACCACCCAACCAGAGAAAGAATCTGATCTCAGCTTTGATCAGCTGAGACCCTGGCTTGGAGGAGGGTGAAACATGGGCAGAAGAGAAAAAACTTAATAACAAACACAACTATCTCATAATAACATATTAGTCTCAGACTAGTGATATTGAATATGAAAACACTTCTTCAGATAAGGAAAGTGGCCATTTTAGATTACAATGCTTTAGGTTCTGGGGACTTGGTTAACTTTTTAGTATTTTAAAAGGTTAGTGTTTCTGAACAGCAGTCAGTATATACACAGTAGAATCTCAGAGTCCTTAACCAGCCAACAACTCTGTTTCGGAATTTTATAATGTGGCATGTAGGGACTTTAACAGTGGACTTTGTAAGACTGGCCCCCAGGAACAGGGGCTGGTACGCATATAAAAAGACATGTGAACTAAGATGAAGAGTTTCTGGACTATGTTATTTGGTGCCATATAGGTAATGGATCCTTGACTATAGGGACTTCCATTCACTTTAAAATAGGGCTTCAGTCATCAATTTTGGATATAGAGGGTAGGCTTTGCCAGAAGGAGTTCCAAGCAAATGACTAGGACTTAGGTCCTTAGAAAAACTGTAGCTCAAATCAGGAAGGATGCTGAGGAAGGCTGCTATTTTGTGGAAATGAGTAATCCACAGGAAGCCACCAGGGAATCAAGGTAGTCTTAAGGGCATGGAGTAACTCCAGCTCTCACCTAACCCATATGCTAATAGACTACCAAGTGATGTCAGTTGGGTTGATTCTACAAGTACCAGGTCTTTAGTACTTATCACCAGCAGGGTTGGTGAAGGCAGGGACCTAACGGTGTCCCTCTGCTCAAATTGGCATCACCATGTCTCAACGGTTCTTCTGTTCATCGTAGACACCAAGTAATTTTGTTGGGGTGATATGATTTTACTGGGCTGGCAAGTGTTGGAAAGTATCTTGTAAGCTGGATAGCAATTGGGTAGAAGTAATATAGAAATGGGAAGTAAATAAGGACAGGTAAATGTGAGAAATAATCAGAAATGTGAAATTTCCAATTAACTTTATCTTTGAGGTCTCACTTGAGATACTGCAGAATTCCATGATTGAACTAATTCAAACTCAGAGAACTGGGAGTTTTCTATACACATTATGCTTCTTTAAAAAGGAGTGAGACTGGAGACTCATAGACATTTTACTCAGTGAGAAAACTAACACTGGTCCAACATACCCGCAAGACTAAACCTTTACTCAAAGAAACCATGGCTCATAATTCTGTCTTATAATAGTTCTGTCTTTAGGATTTCTGGATAAATCAATCTTCAAATGCTGCAGTTTACTAATCATTTAAGGTTATAAAAATATTATCCGATTTAAATAAAGACAATGACCAAATTGGATAGTTTGCATCAGTAAGAAAGTTTATTGAAATTCATTAGTAAATGAGAATAGAAAGTTTTCTTTTTTTTTTTTTTCCATCAAAGGACACTTTCTGGTGAAGTGAAAAGAAAATACAGAAACCACAAAACACCTGTTAGACACCTTATTTTTAGAGGGAACCTGTTTCCATAGGCCACTACTGAACTGTTTCGAGATTTTGTTTTTTGTACACCTGCACATCATGGCCTGTGTGAAGGGAGCCCCTTTCTTCTTGATGCGACTCAATAGTAGTGTGTTGCGGTTTCTGATTCGACCATAGATGAAAGGACTCTCCCATTAGGTGCCACCTCATCAATAATTGTCTTGATTACTCTGGCTTTGTTAATATCTGTATGAATCACAGAAAAAAAAAAGAATTTAGACTCAAGCGGTTTGTGGGGGTCCTTACTAATTAACAAGCAAAATGTCTAAAAGGAGAACACATTAAAAGAGAAAACTTAACATTTCTACTTTGCTTTAAAAAAAAAGCCGAGCAATTTTTAACTTACAGCATTGTAGACCATGCGACTTTTTCTTTCAAGTTAGAGTCAAGAGTAGAGTTTGTTCAAAAACGCCGATTTTAATTTTTTAAACGGCTCTAGGGCTTCCCAAGCAACAGGGCCATCAGAGAAAGCTACAACTAATTCTCATCACCCCTGTGACTTTCTGCTGACCTTGGTCCCTTAGCCGAGGACTCCCCGGGGCTGAGGCCTCCGCTGGAGACGCCGCCGCCGCCGCCGGAGCTGCCGCCGTAACCGCCGGAGCTGCCGCCGCCGTAACCGCCGGAGCTGCCGCCGCCGTAGCCGCCGTAGCCGCCGCCGCCGCTGCCGAAGCTTCCGCTGTCGTAGCTGCTGCTGCCACGCGCGCTGCCTTTCTGGCTCTCGCTGGAATTACAGGTCGCGAGGGTCACAGTCAAGTCTGACTTTGGAAAACGGTGGGTCGCTTTCCAGATTACTGTTACTTTAGTAGAACATAAGCAAAACAGGTTTTGAGAAAAAAAAACAACTGCCGAATATGTGTTTTAAATAACCCACTCTTTACAAAACAAGTTTTTATACACACAGCCCTAAGAGTCATTCTTGGACCAAGTTCATGGGAAATTGAGACCGGCTGCACACGCCCTTTCCTGTACTCTAGTCTCCTCCCTTCTCCCCCCGACGTTTGCCCCATCCTGTGGCACTTTCTTGGGCTTTGGAGAAGCCTTGCGATTTGGAACGTCAAATTAAAGCAGTGGGGATACTTTAAACATTTTTGTGGTTTACCCTGACTCTCCTTCTGAAAGCAGTTTGCGGTAGGTTTGAATTTCATTCTCCAGTCGGATCTTAACATCCAGGAGGTGTTGGTACTCAGTATTCTGGCACTCAGTTTCCGCTCGAATCTCTTGCAGCTGTTCCTCCAGGCAGGAGACCTGGGCCTGAATCTGTGAGAGCTGCATGGAGTAGCGACATTCTGTTTCTGCCAAGGAGGCTTCCAGGGACTGTTTCTGAGAAAGGAGAGAATATGCTGTGGGTTAACCAGCTCGCTGTTCAGCAGAGTACAGTGAAGCTTATTTCATGATTTAATGAGACATCATGTAGAATAGAGGAAATAAATAGAATTTATTTCATGTTTAATGGCAGCATTTTAATTTCAGCATTTTGAAATCAATGCCAGAAATGCCTTTCTCCCAGTTTTGCTTCTTTCTTATTCCAACTCTGCATTTTCTCTTACGGTGCATATTCTTACATATGATAAAGTTCTTTCGCCAGTTTTTAACATACCAGGGCTAGTTGGGACTGTAGTTCGATCTCCAGACTTTGAACATTGCGTCTCAATTCTGTAATCTCAGATTTAACGCTGGACATTTGTTCAATGTTACTGTTGATTTCTGTAGTCAGTTCCTTGCTCTAGAGTATGAAAAAAAGGGAAAAAGATGAGAAAAATCTGAACTGATAAGCCAAACTTATGTTGGCCTCACTATGAAGAAAGATGAGTTACCTTTTCATTGTACCAGGCTTCAGCATCTTTGCGGTTGCGTTCAGCAATTTGTTCATACTGGTTTCTCATGTTATTCAGAAGTTCAGTCAGATCAACACCAGGGGCAGCATTCATTTCCACATTCACATCACCAGTGGACACGTTTCCAAGGTCTTTCATTTCCTATGTGAGGAAACAGAAAAATTTAATAACAGCACTGTGACTGCCTTGAGCCCTTTTATGGCTGGGGGAAGGACAACATTTTGCATCACCTCTTCGTGATTCTTCTTCAGGTAGGCCAGCTCTTCATTCAGGCCCTCGATCTGCATCTCCAGGTCACTCTTGGCCAAGGTCAGCTCATCCAGCACCCTGCGCAGGCCATTGATGTCGGCCTCCACGCTCTGGCGCAGGGCCAGTTCATTCTCATACCTGAAACAGCATGACACAAATGCTGGATATAACTTACATAGCGGAGGTGTGTCCGGCTAGAGACTGTTTAAAAGGCAAATACAGAGTTGACTTCATTTATCATATAAATGCAACATTTATCATATACTAATTCATTAGGGATATTAGTGGTTTAATGCCAAAAAAGCTTAGCACTTAAGATACATTTTCTTCTTTTAATTTTGACAAAAAGGTAATACTGAGGTTGAAAATTTCTCTGACAACTCCAATACTGTTTAACTTTGAATGAATTCAGGAAAACGTAAATGCTAGCATGGACATCCAGAGTCATTGTTAAAAACAACTCATGTGTTTGTTGTTACAATATTGTGCCACATTCACTTAGCTTACTTCAGTCTGAAGTCATCAGCTGCCAGCCTGGCATTGTCGATTTGAAGCAGCATTTTGGCATTATCTGTTGTTATCTTGACGATCTGGAGGGAGAGACAAAGAGGTCAGATACAGATACACCTTTTATAATAGCATAGGTAAATTGCGTTTTTAGGTTTTCTTCCAAAATCTCGCAGGAAGTTTTTATTTTAAATATGGAATATTGTAGGTGTACCCTTATAGTTAAATTTGAGTCATTCATTCTCTTCAAGTTTCTATACTTTTCTATTTCTGTGTCATCCCTTTCTGAAAACAAATTGGAATTACATAGCTGTGTTCCTGATATGGGTTCTTGCACCTGTGTCCGTCTTTTATACTGTGATTTCATGTATTTCACCGACTCATACCTGTATTTGGTTTAACTTGTTATAAATATATATTCTAAATGAATATACTCTGAACTGTCCCAGTGGGTGTAATTCATAAATTTCCTAGAGACAAGCAGTATCCCATTTCCATACTGGAGAATTCATGTTTCTTGCAATGTTGCTAATGAGTATTTTCTTTGTTGTCAATCTGAATAATAGTTCTTTCAGTTCCTGTATTTGTAAAATGATCTAGAGTATTTTAACCATGGACTCATGATACACTCAGTCAAACCTAAAAAAATCTCAGTAATCCGACATCCTGTAAGACACACAGCACACATGTTGCATTAAGATTGCAGTAACCATACTCTCACAGATATTTACCTTTTATGAGACTGGATTGTTTTTGGAAGCAAGAAGGTAACATAGGCAAACACAGTGAACAACTACATCATGGTCATTTCCAGATTCATCTATCTGAATTCAATGGATAAAAAACAGGCTTAAAGTTGATTTTTAAAATTCCCCTTACCTGATTTTTAAGATCATCGATGGTTTGATAGTATTTGCTGTAGTCATGAGGCTCTCCCTGGCCTGTTCTGCTGTGCTTGTCATACCAGTCCTTGATTTTATTTTCTAGCTCATGATTTGAATCTTCCAGAGCCCGAACTTTGTCCAGGTAGGAGGCCAGGCGGTCATTTAGATTCTGCATGGTAACTTTTTCATTTCCGGAGAGGAGGCCACCATCTCCTCCAAAACCACCACCACCAAAGCCCCCTCCAAAGCTGCCTCCGCTGAAGCCTCCCCCTCCGAAGCCGCCCCCTCCGAAGCTACCTCCTCCATAGCCTCCTCCATAGCTGCTGCCTCCATAGCCTCCCCCATAGCTGCTGCCTCCATAGCCTCCCCCATAGCTGCCTCCACCAAAGCTACTGCCACAAAAACCTCCTCCTCCTGATCCTCCTCCATAGCCACCTGATGAGCCTATAAGGAAGCTTCCACCAGAGCTTCCCCGGCTGAAAGAGCTACTACTGAACCCTCCTGAGCCACATACTCCTCCACCAAGGGAGCCTTTGCTGCTTGCAATTCTGTAGCATGCCCCTCCTCCTCCTCCTCCTCCTCCTCCTCCTCCGCTGCGGGAGGAAGAGTACTGCTTGCTTGAGCTGTATCTCACAGACATGGCTGCTGCTGTTCAGCCCAGGGAGCACCTGCTGTCAAGGACAGTGAACAAGCCTTTATATACTGAGAGGGTGTGTTGCACATGTGTTAGAGTTTGCTTACTTCCATGGTTTTCTTTTTGCCAACTTAGCACCTTTGGCTTATGATTGCATAAATTATCTTTGGTAATAATGAATTCCAATATGTACAGTTTTGAATTTGCCTTAAGAACAAATAAGAAGTTTACTGTGTTGAAATTGAAAATGGGTGTAGTTCAGATGAGCATGTTTCATTCTGCTTTTTCACCTTTTGAAGACCATTGAGCAACTTAAAGTCTAGTTTTTTCTCAGCTCTAATTTGGGTTGCACAGACCAATTTGCAAAGTTCAGAAAAAGAATTTTAGCTACAAAATTACAGTTGAAATAAGATTTTTCAAGTTCACGTTTTAAACAGCTTTCATTCATCAGAACAACAGTTAGTGTAGTGAGCCAGTCATGCTGTTTTGGGGATCTTGTAGAAAACTAAGCAACCAGAAAGAAGATAAAAACCATACACTAAACCATTTAATTAGCATTCCAGAGTTGCTGCAGGTAAAAAATTAAAGCCATAGAAACACAGTTTAGGAAATATGTGTGTGTTTGCTTGTAGGGAATCTTAATTTATTTGGAGAATCAAAATATATTGATATTTTGCTTAGGAAATTAGAAGTGAGTACCGATTTAGGCAACGGTACTATTCTTTTTGACATGAAAAAAATATCCAAAATCATGAAGTTGTTCTGGATTTAATTTTTACATTCATTGTAGTGAAAGTTTATGTGAAGGCCATAATATAGAAAATCTTAGCTCTTTACACTAGATTTGATGAATTGAAAGAGGAGAATTTAGGCATGTTAGGATTATGTGTAAAAGTTTGCTTGCAAGATTATAAATTCAGATTAGAGAATGGGACTTACTCAAAAATTACAAACTAGACTGTGAATATGTTTCTAAGCTAGTTTGTGTTTCTCAAAAAAAAAAATCCTTGGATAATACTGTCTGTAGAATTTGGCATAAAGTTCATCTAATTGAGTATTTAATTGGGACTTTAATACATGAGAGTGTTTTATCTGCCTATAGGCTATGAATGGCTCTTGTTCAAAAATATATTTTCATATATATTTATATACATAAATGCACATGTTTTACAACTATGCAGTGCTGTTTATGATGCTGTGATTTTATAATCTCTGAAACAAGCTGCTGAAATAGGGCTGGTGGTTATTATCTCTAGTTTATAGAAGATGAAGTTGAAGTTGAGTTATGCTTTTGCCTAAAGATATAAACTAGGTTGTTGAACTGAGAATAGAAACTTGATCTTTTGATGCCTGGCTATTGGCCGTTTCCTACTCTACTAACTTTATGTATTCTCTGCTCTGGTGGATTTGATCTGATATAATTGAATGCCTCTATTTCTTACCATAAGCTTCTCCACATGGGAAAATATCAAACAAAAAACACTTTGAAGTATGAAAATATTGAAAGGGTAGGGCGTTTGGCACACACGCTCTTCATTACTGATTGTTTTTTCAAATTAGGTTTATAGGGGCACAGTCTATAGAAATAGTTCCTGCAGGGAAAGGGAATGTGGCTATTTGCATTAATGCAGACTTGGTTGTTAGAGTGAAGGTTACTACCCAACAAATTGCAGCTCCTCCAACTTGTTAGCACATGAAAATGGGGCAGTAGCTGAACAAAACAAATGAAACCCAACCATGGGAATTGATTCCTGATGAAGATAACATGCAGTAGAGGAAGGCTATGATAAATCAGGGTAGAAAAAAAAACATTGCAGTAAGTTCAGAGAGGAAGTTGAAGCCTTGATATTAATGAAAGCAATTTGGAAAGAAAGCACTGTAATTAAAGAGACATTTTGATAGATTTTACCTGTGATTATCACAAATTCTGGATCTTGATCTTATCATTTTTGATTTAGTATTAGCCTTTAATTTTTTTACCTTGGTTGGAAAATATAAAACTCTCCGTCTAGTTTCAGTTAGTTAACAAGTAGTATGAAAGGATCTGTTACAGTCATATTAAATTGAGGAATACATAAAAGAAAACCTTTGCATGAAAGTACACAGGAACTTAACATTTAATGTAAGCCACTTTTCATGTTATTGTCAAAGATTACTTATTAACTTGTATACTCTAGAAATTGATTTGTTTTTATTTGAGTGTCATTTGTTGAAATCAGTCTTTGGCATGAGTAAAATTACAGAGGTACCATGTAATGATTCTAAGCTAAACTGAATGAAAATTTAAGGTTGTCAATTCTAGGCACCGTTTATACCAAGTGTCATAATCTACTATAACTATAATTGCATTGTTCTCTGTTTTTATTGTGGCTCTATGTAAGGCACATTGGTAGGTGTTTAGAAGATACCAAGATGAATGAGATTCAGCTCCTGCTCTTAAAGATGTTAACAGTGTTACAATCTCATTGAGAAGACTAAAAATGTACTATCAATTTAAGTGCTATGTAAATGGCAAATTAAGTGGGAGGGAGGTGGGCTGGGGAAAAGGAGTTAACATTTCTTGAGCATCTGCTGTGTCCTAGATGGTTTACTCTCTTTAAATCCTCCCCTAAATTCTCTGTGGTAGGTGTTATTTACCTCGTTTAATAGCTGAAAAAATTAAGCTTTACAAAGCTTTAGGAATTTGTCCTGAGTAACACAGCTAGTTTATGCTAGAACCTGGTGTTGAATCAGGCCAGTGTGGCTTCAGAAATGATACTGTTTTCATAACACTGAACTGCCGCTGTAAAACTGATGAGCAAGGACTCCTACTGGAATGCAATCACCTGACAAAGATTCATGGTGCAGGTAAAATTTAAGTTGAGTCTTGAGACAGATGGGTAGGATTTTTCCATGTGTGCAACAACTTGTGGGAAGTTGTTTCAGACTCTGAAATTGCTAGGCAGGTGGAGAATCTCTAAATGTACCAATTTGGTTGGAACAGATCATCCATATTTACTAATTTGTTCTAAGAGGTTCTTGAACACCTGCAATATTCCCTGGGGATACATAGGTGACTAAGATACAATTCCTGCCTCTGAAGGAATTCGCAGTCTGCTTGGAGAGTCAGGCAAACATACCCTTCAATCAGCTTTTTTAAATAGGATAATCTAGGATACATTTGAGGCATGGACAGGGTGTTGAGGGAGTACACAGGGGTTCTAACAGCCTGGTGTGTGTGTGTGTGTGTGTGTGTGTATGTGTGTGTGTGTGGATATGGGAGTGAACTGTGGGGGTGCAATAAAAATAGTGCAGGCAAGTTTTGAGAAGATTAGATTAGTTTGGTTTAAGACATGAATCTGAAGAAATACCAGGATATTCATGTAAAAATATCTTTTAAGCAGAGTCATAGCACTACTGTTCAGGAGAAAGCTCAGAGCTGTGCACTTCAGGATAGTTAGGATCGCTAAGCGAAGGACTTTAGAAAGAAATGAGCATGAAGTTTTGGGGATGGTCACTTCAGGGTCTAGGAAGAAGAGCTGGCGAATGAAACAAAAGGAGGGCTCCTGGGACAGGGGAGAGAGAGAAGGCTCATGGAGGCCAAGTGGGGAGAGAGCTCAGACAGGCTGGTCTGGTCTCCAGAGACAGTCCGGAGAAAGACTGAAGAAAGACTGTTGGTTTGGTGATTAAGGACCATTGGCATCCTCCCAGAGGGCAGGTAGTAGATCCTGGAGGGACAATCCATGAGGTATACCCAATATTGGAATTGATGACCTTGCTTATAGTGTTCTGCTTTCATCTAGTCCAGTTTATTAATTCTTCAATTGCTTCTGGACTTTGGGTCATGGTTAGGATGGGTATAAATGCTATTCTCATGGGCTTAATTTGGCTGGGGCTCTTGAAGCATTTTATTGATTCAGTTTTGTTATCAGAATGACTTGTCTCACTGTTGGGATTGGATCTTTCCTATGTCTTCCTTATTTTGCTTCAAGTCAAATTATTTTTTGACATTTCTAGTTGAAAATTCTGTTTGTAGATTTCTCTGAGTGAGTAAATGAGATATAATGAATAATTTATGTAGTTGCAGAAAGATGACTCTGGTAATGCAGGTTATGTCTCAGGGTGGCAAGGTTGAAGATCTGAATGTTTAGAATTTTCTATTGTTTATCACACAAAGTTTGAGAAGTATACATGTCTTGCTTGAATGTTCTGTGACTGCAAATTGCTGACATGCCTTTGTGATGCAACCCGTAGAGTCAAAGCCAAATGGAAAGTTGTACGAATGTTTGATGGATTTGGTTCCCTTCTCCCAGATTAACTGAGCAATTAGGACAACTAAGATATTGATAAGGCCTATGTTTCTCATTGGCAAACTTCTAAAATGCTGAGCTTTAAAATCTGACACTCTCATATTATACAGTTTTTCTAAAACCTCTGGGAGTGCACTGTGATGGGAGCCACAAAAATATGGACATTCATGGAGGGTTTTCAGTGTAGTGTAGCAGATGGTCAAGTGGGTGGCCTCTGGAGTCAGGCTGCTTGGTCCACAATCCGGCCCTACTGCTTACTGGGTGGCTCTGTCACAGTTTTCTCATCACTAAAGTAGGAATAATAATTTTGCTTACACTGTAGCATTATAGTGGGAATTAAATGAGTTAATAAATATGAAACGTTTACAGTGCCTAGAATATGTAGAGCAAGTGCTTAATAGGAGGTTTTTTTTGTTATTACTATTACTGTGATCTCTGTTTCTCAGAGCCAAAACCACTGTCTGCCCCATAGTAGGCCAGAAAAATAGGAGTGAATGAAAGAAAAAGATTAGAAGCTGGAAAATGGCTTGTGTGGAGGAGAAAATGGCTGGGAAGGAGAACAGGGCAGGTGCAAGGTGCTTCACTGATGACTTCACAGTAAACCATGCCAACTGTTTTCCTCTGCACAATAGTTGCTTGCATTTTTAACTTCTGTCTTTTCTTTACCTCTTATGTCCACCAGGTCACCAGTTTTGTCACTGTCTCTTTTGTCATAACTGATGTTATTTGTTTCTTTTTGTCTAGTCCCACTGCAACTG